CCTCAGCGAGGTTATTCATCGGCCTGAGTGTTTACTACAAGCGTTTTTTGATGGTTGAAGATGCGCCGTGTTCGTATCCCGTTGAGGTCGCACTTTAATTTTAGCTGCCTCCACTCGGTGAGTGGGTAGTGAACACTCTCTACGACTTTCAGAACCAAATCGGTCCTCGCTTCGAACCCCGGTGTCGGTTTCACTTTCTCTTCGTTATTTGCTACAGTTCTGAGAGACACCCGATTTTTACGAAAAATTTTGCAGCTCGCAAATTGAAATATCTACAAAGCTGCTTTAAGTCTTGGTTTGCTAATTTTCGAAAAAGAATCCATTGAATTTACGAATCAGGGTGTTATCTTTTAAGTGATTTTTGAAAAGAAAAAAATCATATGAAAGTTTTGGTGGACCATAGAAAGCTCCATCAATAATAATTTTGTGCAGAAATGACTCCAGTGTTTTGTACCACGAGGATGGCGAGCGCATGATTTGCTTAGAGAAAAGTTTGGTTTCTTCTAAATTGCGTGGCATGAAATAAAATAGCCTGACGAGAATTGGAAATTAAGCCCCAGAGGAGGAGATGATAAAATAATTTATTAGAACTCACCGAGTGTAATTTCATGTTCCCAGGGTTTAATCAAAACTCGATATTCCTTAAACGTAATTTATTATATGCCAAGAACAATATCATGTCTAGATCTGAATTTCTCTCAAGGGATAGAAGAGTTTAGGCGTGTAAAAAATTTTGCAGACACTCCTTAGAAATTTTTGAAGCATTCAGAGGAATCATAGTAAACTCGCGAAAGAATGTTTAATCATTAAAATAAGAAGTTTTAAAGTCAAAAATTAATATATATTGGTATACATATGTCAGTGTGATTGGCCTCTTTGACCTGTTCTCGAGTCAACATTACTTTTCATTGCTGAGGGCTTGGGAGCGGCCGAAGAATTTTCTTCAAAATGCATTCGATGCAGTAAGAGGTAGGCGGTAGGTTCTTTAGCAATCCCTTCAAAATTGTGTGCGTCGCGAGGAGAAGCAAAAGAACAGGAGGACTTGAATTGGCATGTTACAACTTAAACCTTCTGTCATCTCATCCACAAGTTCCTTCTTAAAAATGAAAGATCGGTTTCGTCTGCCAAAACACCAACGCGAGAGTGTTAACAAGTTTGTGTAAACAGCCGGTGGTCAATTCGCAAAAGAGAGTTGTTTTCTCTCATCACGCGTTGTATACCATGAACCTTGATTGTCATAAGCTTTCGTGTCTTTGTTTACGTGTAGGTAACAGTGCAAAAACTATGATTTGATTACTAGACAATGGATATTCTGTCAGTTAGGCTTTACCCAAATCAGACTAACTGCATTTCACAAGATTCAATTCCGTCTTATGTTTTATCTTCTATTTTTTTCCTTCAAGAAAACAAAGCCACGCGATGCCTTTAAAAAAGTAAACACATTTTCTTCTTAGATCATGAAAAATACATCCACACAAGTTCTGCTGCTTTGTTTTCTTTTGAAAAATAAAGCATGAAAAGAAATTAAGCCCAGTTTTATGCACTTACGCTGATTCTCTTGAAACCGTTCGTCGGCAGTAAGAAACCGCGTTTGAAGAACGGCGCCGTCCACGGAGAAAGAATAATCATTGCTTCCACAATTCTCACAGTAGATTCCAAGTCCTATCTACAATTCTGATTGTAGTCACAATGTTATTTTTGTGGCAACAATTACTTTGGTTCCAGTAACAATGCACTATTGTTAGCTGGTCCGAACTAATTATTACCTCAAAAGTATCATCCTAACTACGACTAGAAAAGTAGGTTGGAGCTGAAATCCCCAATGCGTATTGTGGGAGCATGTATTCTTTTTTCTGCGTATCAGCCGTGATTGCCGGAGAGTGGCAGCTTTATTCATATGAACCATGTATTCATAGCATAAGGATTACTGCTGTGGTCTTTTGCCCCTCTTTAAGCCTCACTCATTAACGAACGATTTCATGTGACACACTCAACTGACCCATCCAACCAAAATGACAAGGCTCTAAAGTTTCCAGGTTGTGCAAGGAATTATGGACATTTTGCATAGGTTTAAATGAGGTAAATGCTGACAAATCAGCCCTATCTGGCAACAATGTTCTTCCTTTTCCCAATTAAAGTCCATCTCGCGGCCGCGACGCCCGTCGCTTCGAATCCTCCTACGAGCACATCAAAGCGATGCGTTCGCCTATGACGAAGATGAAAGTGGAATGATGACATCGATGCGCTCATCACTGACGTTTAACGATATCGACTGCTTGTTCGCTTGTTCCTACGACGCTTAGGAATTTGGGGCGAATAAATAATTGTCAACGTTTGATGGGCTTCGAGCTGTTCGCTGCCGTTTTTATCAAAACAAGATTGGTCCGACATCCACTTTTGCTCCGAGTATGAGAAAAACAGCTTAAAAAAATAATCGCTCGAATAAGGATGGGATTGTGTTTTTTTGTGACAGGGGGTGACTGCGACCATCCGCTTTTCGTTACGCACCCTTTCAACCTATCTTACATCTAACGTCAACGTATCTGACAACCTATTCTTCCTTTCTGCGGTTCCCTTCTTACACGATGCCCGCTATGAGGTGATAGAGCATTATGTAACACGTTTGAAGAGGATGAGAATGTTAGTCGAATTTGCGGTACAGAAGAGAAAAAGATAACGCAAGGGTTACGTTAGGAACGATAATTTTTTCTTGGGAAAATCTACCATACATGTACAAAACATGTCAAGTCATTTTCGGGAGAGGAGAAAGAAAAAACTAAAGAAGTAGAGAAATAAAGTTTAGCATACCTAACCGTCAACATTTTATGAATATACAATCACAAACTTTAAAAACCGGAACTACCCTTCGCCATAGTTGTAGTAATTGTGTCGATAGAGGAAGCGCAACCTCTATCGGCTACCGTCTGTGCAATATCCATGATGCTAGTTTTGACATTTGACAGTAGCTTGTATCATAGTCTCCAACGATTTAAAAAAAAAAAATGTATCTCATGATGGTTTTAAATAATGTTTATTGAATAGATTCTGTGTCTTACAAAAATGATACGCGGTCATATTAAGTAAAAATTTACATTAACTGCAACGTCATCATGTCAACACGGAAAAGAAGAGGTAGGGCTCAAGTCCCAACTTTTGGATGATATGGACATTTCAATTTTTTCGTGGTAGTACCCCATTTAGGTTGCTTACCCTGGTAAAAATTGGCGATAAGAGTTGCGTTTCAAAATACCATAGGAATTCTTATAGTCGACTGAAGAAGGCTATAGAAAATCATATAGCTGGCTGTAGAAAGTGGAAAAAATCATACGACCGGGCTACAGGAAGCGATGAAAAATTATACAGCCGGGCTATAGTTCCTATCGCCGGGCTTTACACTTTATCGCCTGGCTGTTATTTTTTCGCCATCGGCTAAAAAAAGCTATTAGAAATTGTATAGAAATTCGTGTGCTTTGTAAATCCTTAAGTTTGTACGATATCACCTTAATATTTACAAAACGCACATTATATTTTCCTTTACTACATATTTTTTTCATCAATTAAAACGAGAATAATCCATACAGGATGTGCAAACATTTCAAAATCATGAGTTGAATAACGCTGACTCCGCCAGATTAAATATTAGAGCCTAACACAAAGCGGAGCGGCGACGCACTGACGCCTACAAACCTAACAGGGATACTTCACGCATTGCGCAACGCGTAAAGTATCCCTGTTGGGTTTGTAGGCGCCAATGCGCGTTTCGCGCTGGCTGCCCACCTGCAGCTGCAGCACCGCAGCGTGCCACGGCGCTTGAAGCAACTATTTCACACCAGAGGTATTGCACAGTATCATACGAAACTGAAGGCGCTCTAATATATTAGGAATGGCAGGCATCCGTCAAAAGTACGGAGCTTTCCTCGCAAAATAAATCAAGACTAGCTGCTCCGGACGCCCTACGGGCGCCCTCCACAGCTAGCAATGGTGGTGAGTACCTTAATTGGAATCGGAGCAATTAGTTGAATCTACTTAATAATGATGAATAAAATGTCTGTAACAATACGTGTTGTTAGCAATACGCAATACTGCAGTTAATAAGTCAGGGTCAGTCAAGCCGCAGAGAATAAGATGCCAGGATATCAAGAAGCTGTGAGGCGGAGTAGCCGAGGGATGGCGAAGGAATGTGGGTGGCGAGTGACGAACTGACGAACGACGATGCGACCCAAACTTCCTTCTTTGAGGTTGGTGGAAGGAGAGCTATACGAAAGAAAACGGAGATAGCCGAAAGAACGTGGTGGGAGGGGTGGCTGAGACCCTAGAGGGGGTATCTAGGGACGGGCAAGCAGGTAGCGGCCGGATGACCGCTCAAAACAGCTGAACTTTACTCGTCGATAAAAGTAAGAAAATTTGAGAAAATCGAAAAAACAATTACAGCCTGCAAATCTACAGATCAGAAGCTTTCATTTAAAAAAAACCCCATGCAAATCGGTCCGATGGTTCTCTCAAAGTTAATGCCCCAAAATGCGGACTTTAGTCTGAATAAATGGGAGAAAATTTGAGCCCAGCTAAACTTCACTCGTTGATAAAAGTAAGACAATTTGAGAAAAACGAAAAAACGACCACAGCCTGTAAATCTACAGATCACAGGCTTTCATTTAAAAAAAACCCCATGCAAATCGGTCCGGTGGTTCTCTCAAAGTTAACGTCCAAAGATTCGGACCTCCGTTTTAATGCATCGAAGACAATTTTAGAAAATTATGGGAGAAAATTTGAGAAAATAAAAAAAAACGATCACAGCCTGCAAATCTACAGCTCAGGGGCTTTCATTTAAAAAAAATCCCATGCAAATCGGTCCGGTGGTTCTCTCAAAGTTAATGCCCCAAGATTCGGGACTTTGCATTTTAATATATAGGATACTACAGCCCAAAAAGAGAGCAGTGGTCCAAAAACTCACTAAGTCCTAGCATCCGTGGTGACGTTTAGCACACACTTTATCGCCTGGCTGTGAGTTGCTTAATCGCCATCGGCTATAAAAGGCTATAAGAAATTGTGTAGCCGACTATAGACGCTATTGGAAATATTACAGCCGGCCATAGGTCTATGGTATTTTGGAACACAGATTCTACTGCCAATTTTTACCAGGGTACCAAAATGTTGCGGCTCTACCAAAATTAATCAGATATGCCCAAATCATCCAACAATTTGGGGTAGTATCACAATTTCAGCGGGCAACCCCTGACACTTTTTTCACGTTTATTTTTATTCAATATTCAATTCTCTGTGTTTCTAATACAAAGAAGATGCGACGTGGAGTGCTGCATCGAAAAATTTCTCTTTGACCACGAACAAATCCACCTCAATGCAAAAATTCAAAACCGGTCCTCGGAGTAAGATCCTGTTTCCGCTCGTTCCTCTGAACCTGCAAAAACGTCTCATCTTCAGGCACTTTACTGTCCGGCACTAAGACCCGTTTAAATTTCCGATACCTCCAATACTGCAACAAGACCTCCCCGAGAAACACAACACTGGCGACGCAAACGCCTGCTCCCAGGACGATGAAGGACGCAGAGAGGTCCTGGACGGTGAAGACCTTTTCCCTCTTAGCGCGACGGTCCTCAACGGTCCGATAGGTCTCCAGGGTGTACTTGATGACGTCAGCGGACCACTTGGTGACGAGGCCGGACTGGTCCATTCGCCCGATCAGGGAGTCGATGCGGGAGCGGTACGGCGAGTCCTTGATGACGATGTAGGCGAGGTAGTAGGTGATGAGGTTCTGCGAGAGGGTGTGGAGGGTGCGCGTGGCGTTGTTTTTGAGCCCGGTGAGGACGACGTCCTTGAAGTACTTGTACGAGTGGACGTTGATCCGTTGGAAACCGGCGTAGTACCCGTCCGAGTCGTGCATGTCTTGTTCCGACTTCCACCGGTGAACCTACGAAAGCTTTGGTTAAAACCGTTGTCCTCTGACGTAAGAGCGTATCTCTATATCTACATGAGCCACGGAAAGTATAGAGTTATACTGCCGCGCTTAGAAAGAACGCTGTAAGAGCCTTCAGACGCTTCCAAATTGCTCTCGATGAAAACCGGATTTACTGGGTAAATTGTAAATATTTTTTTTCCAAAATGTTCAGACAATTTTGTACACAATATAATCTAAGGTATCGAAAAATTTCGAGGGAAAATAGGCTTAAATTGCGTCAGAAATACATGTTTTATCAAGGGAAATCCGGCAACTCTTGAAAGTTCATGCTGCGTTCTTCCTTAGCACAGTAGTATGCGGAGAACGGGGCTCACGTGGAAATAGAGGTACGCTCTTACGTCAGAGGAGCGACGAAGTCGGCCACAGACGTCCAGAAGGAGATTTTGCTAGTTGGCAACACTGTTTTTACTCCATTTAAATCCATTGAAAATATCGATTGAAAACAGTGGAAAAACAGTTTTGCCAACTTTCAGGAATCGCCACTGCCGACTTCGGCGCAACGATTCGTCCAGAGACGAGAGACCCTCTGTTGCTGTCAGAGATGTCGGTGATCTCATTAGTGACACTTACGATACCATCATTGAAATCTATAATTTTACTTGTTCCTTCGCTATGATTTCATTATGTTTTAAAATTATATTGGTTTCATCTCAGCTGACAATACTTTTTCTTTTCCAGAAAAGGGCTGGATTTCAGAAAAGGGACGATCCACACAAAAGAAAATTCAAAAATTGACTTCTGAACGACGAATACTTTCACTCGGTTTACTCGAATCAAAGGTAAGCATCGTTTCTTTGGTTAATAATTGATGGTTTGTCGTTGATGATGTTAATAACTTTTTGTGCGGCGGAAAAAGAAATGAGGAGCCTTATTCAGAAACATTACAGTATTGTTTGATCTTTTAAGCGAAGATATCTCTGTGTGTCAAAATAAGCAAATCCCTAACTCAAAACCATGGAGCACAATAGAGTCACTACATATTGGAACGCCGCTGAAGTCAATCCGTGATCGGTGCATTCCTAGCATCCGGTTCGCTAAAAGTGTAAGCCAAGTGTGAACCAAACGGAATTTTTGAACACGGGCGGCTTAAGAGAAAATCGCGGGTTGCGAGTGGTTTTCAGGATTCATTAATTTATATTATAATATCATTATTATAACTAATTTCGAGAATTTTGGCAAATTATGTTTACCGAAGTAATTTAAAATCAAAAAACTTACTAAATCCCGGTTTTTATTAAATAAATTTTTATTCTTATATTTTCTAAGCGTAGTCTAGAGCTGAGACTCCGCTGAATCCAGTCCTCGGACTTCAGTCTCAAAAACAATAGACAAAACAGCTCCAAAAAGTGACTTCATCATCGGCGCTTCATTACTTGGCGACTCCATTGTACTCTATAATGAAAACTACCAAGTTTCCAGTTCAAATAGTCACCTTTTTTGCGAGACCCCAAAGGATCGGGTCACTGTAGAAGATGTCCCTCCAACTCAGCGACGAGGTCCAAATCAAGAGCGGGGACTTTTCCAACTGTTTGAGGTTATCGATGTCCGGGTAGTAGACGGGGACGCTCAAAAATCTGACTAAATTACCCTGAAACGAGCTCGTTATCACGATGGTAAAGACAAGAATCGACGTGACTAGAATCCGCTCAGAGGTCGATCCGATGATAAGACATTTTGGCGGAGGCGATGATAAGAAAAATCTGAACGTGTCAAAAATAACTTTGGGAATATCCAATTTAGAGGCTGGTGTCACTGACCGACCTCCTTTTGACCAAAGCACGACTTTTGAGTGTGCAGAGTGAGCTGGTTTCATTATCGCAGAATTACCATGATCATTTGTCACCATTCGGCCCCAGAATGTATGAAATAGTCGACCTAGTCTCGATTTTTTGCCTATGTCAGGTATTGGAGAAGGTCCATACTGCGTGTTTTTGGCATGAGGTGACAAGAATTCCTTCGAACGGTTATGAAGTCCAAACTGGTTTGGCAGTGAGCCTTCATCCGATTTCGAGTGGCGTGCCATTGGCTTTGGGTTACCAAAAAGATATGCAATTTTTGGTGAGTTATCAAACCCTGAATATTTTCCATGAGCGGACAAAATTGGTTTTGGACTGACACGTGACCTTATTCCGATTTTGGGACACTGCTTTGGTCTCACACGTTTAGAAGTCCATGGATTTCTGGAGGTGAAAAATTGACCAACCAAGCGTTTCAACTTCCCGCCGATGGGGCTCTTAGAGGGCAGCTGGTTCTTCGATAGGTTATTAATAAACCAGTTTGAGTGTTTCGGCTGCTTATGAATCTGAGGCTGATTGCTAGAAGACTGGCTCCTGGAGGTCCAAGCCCCTTTGTTCTGAGTCTCCAGTCCGTGGACTACGCGTAAAGTGCCGGCGTCCATGTACTCGAAGGAGTATTTAAGGTAGGCGACGTAGACGAGAACGGTGGAAACGAAGGTGAGACAGAGCGTGACCCAAACGGAGAGCTCGAAGCTGAGGAGGACTGTGATAACGGGTGGGATAACGCTGGCCTTGGGCGCCATGATCGAGACGTAGTCCAGGGTGATGGGCTTCACGAAGTCCACCCGCTTGTCCCGGTAGTCCTTCACGAAATGACCGTTGCTGCATAGCTCTGCCGTCCCGTTCAAGATCGGGTAGAACGTCCCCGTAAATTGTCCTTTAAGAGAGAGAAATTTCAGATCAACAGAGGTGCTCGAATCTTTCAGCAGTCAACAGTTAATATGTTGCAGAGATTCACTTTCTACCCTCTGTAGGTGAAGAAATGCATCGATGCTCAACGAGCCGATGTCTTTATTTAATTACTCAAGATTTGAATTTAAAGGACCTGAACAGAGGGGCAGGTTATCAAAGGCGGTTTGAGTACCTCAGTAGTGTAGATTGTTGGTTTTTTAGCGCATGTGCACTGATTTTATAAAAATGTAAAATAGAAGAAAATTCCGTCAGCCATCAGCATTCACAGTATTCAAAAAAGTTCTTCGTGAGCCCGTAAGTCCTGAGTAACATACCTATTCTTGTTTTATTATATTTTACAGTCGATCATTATGAAGTATACTTTTATTCGCTGTAAACCTTAGATGCCCAATTACCAACCGTCACGGGTTTTGCTCACGAAGCCTTTGAAGCAACAATACAAGCAAGACAAACGGAGCCAGTACAATATAGAGATAGAGCAAGGGAAAAGACGCACGTTGATGACGGCGCAGAGATACAACTATTCGTGCTTGATGGATGTCCATATTGCATCTGCAAAATTGAAGGCGCTATGGCGCGAGGCGTAAACTCGTAATACTCCGCTCTATGATGCCGATGGGGTGTCTTTCGGATATGAGGAAAAGTTAAAAAACGAGGTCCGATTACGTTTCTCCTATCTTCAGCTGTGTTTGCACTCGATTTTTTTAAATTCGATATTTGATTTTTCACGATATAGTTTAGACTTACATAAAAAAACGCACTCGTGACTAAGAGCTATGGACTTACGTCTTCAGACCTTTTTACACCAATGGAATTTTTTTTTTTACATTTTTATAAAATCAGTGTACGTACGCTAAGAAACCAAGGATCTGCACTATTCAAGTACTCAAACCGCCTTTGATAACAGAACATGGAGGAGAAAATCGTTTTTCTATAATTTATTGTTTTAGCAGTAGTATACTTTTCTCAAAATTCATGGTTCAAATTTTGGTGAGGCGAGTTTTTTCACTCAACGTTGCTCATCTTCTGCGGGAACTTAAAAACGCGATGACATAGAAAATAGCTGAGCTTTTCTGTGATACGAACGTATTAGAGCATTTCCGCTTGTTTTTTGTTCAAATCTAAGGAGATAGGAACAGTTGGTTCCGTTGTAGAGAAATTTCAACTTGCCTTTTACCACCTTGATGCCGTATTCCATGCGGATCCCTCGTGGCGTGAAGATGATGGGCGTGAAATTCATGCGTTCGATGAGCGTGTTCATGAACATGCCGTCTTGGCCTATGAACTTGGACCCCTCTGTGTCATTGAAGCGGTTTTCCTTGTCTACAGGGATTGCCGTCGGCACCCTCGAGTAGATCACCACGCCCATCTTGCACTTGTGCAAATTCCAAACCGTTTTTTCGATCACGTTCGGTAGCGACCTCAGATCAGATCCCTTTATTTAAAAGGTTAACATTAGATACGATTTGACCATGGAAATACTCATTATCGTCGTGTCTCTGACTTAAGGGCTTAACTCAGTTTCCACGTAAGCCCTTTTTCGCATATAAATCCATGCTTTCTGGGGGTCTTGGGGAATTCCGATACGCCTTTACGTCAGAGGAGCGACGATATGCGAGCTGCATGACTGGAAACTGGTCAAAACCTATTTGGTTTAATCAATCATTGATACTAGGTTTAGCTTAATAGTCAGGAATGAATCCTACGGTTAAACATATTGAAGCATCCTTAACTTTGAGCAAATGAGCTAGACTTATAAAACTTAAAATATATTTCAGAAGCGTCATAAAATTGACACTTAAGAATATGAACATTATATTTGGAAGTCAACAATTGTTTGAGTCGTATGAGTCATGCACCGAACAATTTTTTTTATCAAAAATGAATAATTAACTTTGAATTTAACTAGTATTTTCTTGCATAATCCTCATCTTAAACTCGCCTAGTCATCAAGTGAAACATATTCGTAAATCACCAAAAAAGTAAAAAATAAATGAAAAAATGTAAGAATCCTTGAAGATAATTTTTGCATCATTATTCACGCAAATGCCCGTCGGGAAAATAATGGTAGTGGTAACATGTTTCCTGGCTGTATAAGATCCCCCGAAAAACCCTTCAGTCTAATAATGATTGAACCATCAGTTCAGTAAACGTTATTAGATGTGAGATTGACTTTGCAAAACACCTTGGCCAGTAGATTCCCCGGGGATCAAATCGTCGTGCCTGCTTGTCACAAGGGCGTAACTACACTCTGCAATGAACCCTGTCCTCCATACAATTCAATTTTTTTCCGGGCTCATCTCAATGTGTAGTTACACTCTAATGTCAGCCAAGCGACGAAATATAGCCATGAATCAAAGCCCGATGCCATTTTTTCACCCGTGACTAGGTATAAAATAAATGCGGGGTCCCCGTCCCCGAACCAGTTTACTTCAAGGTAAACTTGACGTTGGTTTATCGTATGGTGATTACATGTAATGTACCTTGAACGGCTTCAGCATTCCACCCACATCGCACTCAGGATAAGGGCTGAAATAGTAGACGAGGCCAGGGGTAGCTTTGGGTACAACGATGAATCGGAAGATTTTGTACTTCTTCCATAGCATGCGAATATGGTTTTCCAGGTCGTCATCGGCGATTTCCACCAGGAGGATATAGTAAAAGCGCGGATTGAGGCCCATCGCAGTCTTCTCGATGAATTGCACATCGAACACGCTCGAATCTTTGTCGCTGGTTTTGTTCGCCGCTTTAGATGAGTTGCCAGCAGTCGCATTCGGTGAGCCAGCAAGTCGTGGTTTGGTGGAATTCGTTGGTGTCGAAGCGTTCTTGGAGCGTGGACCACGTGATGTGTTATCAAATTTCGGGGTCTGCGTTGATGGTGTAATTGGCTTTTTTGTTGGTCTTGGTGAGTTTGATGAGTCAGTAAAGCTTGGCGTAAAAGTGGGCGGCGTTGTTGGCTTATTCGTAGGTTTTGGTGGTTCTGATGAGTCAGCGAGGTTTGGGTTAAACTTGGGAGTTGCTGATGGCTCGTTTGTTGGATTTTGTATGTTTGATGAGTCAGCGAGACTTTGGTTCGATTTTGGCGTTTCTGACAGCTTGCTCGTCTCTTTTAAAGTGTCCGAAGAGTCAGCGAGACTTGAATTAAAAGTGGGCGTTGCTGTTGGATTGTTCGTTTGATCTGATGTATTTGTTGGGTCAGCAAGTACCGAGACAAGTATAAGGGTTTTTGGCTGTCCATTAATTTGTTTAGGCATCTTAGATGAATCCACAGCCATCAGGTTCTTTGATGGCGTTGCTGCTGACTCTGCTGAGCGCTTTGCTATGGTCAGCCAATCAGGGAGCGTTGAGATTGTTGAACTTGGCGTAGTCCTTATTTTTGATACTACAGTCACCTCATTTTCAGGTTCGCCTTTGTTAATTCCATCAAATCTCGGATCGATGCTGTCATTCTTTACTCTCATTTCGACTTCTTTTATAGTATCCTCGTCTTCGTGTTGTGCTTGTAACTTTACTATGTCTTTGTAAGAATTAGACGATACTTTTGTAATAACCAGTCTGAAATCACTTTGCCAGTTCGTAGTGAGATGAGCTTTACTTGAGTGTTCATAGTTCCTCGTGCATACATCTGATGATCGTGAAAAGGTTAGGTTATCGAGCCTCATGGGACAGCCTAACTTTGATGTAACAGCGCGTTTCGAGATTGGTTTTGTAATTATGCTGCTCTCGTTCGCAGAAATATTTGTACTTTGTTGTTGCATTTCTGCTTGGAGACCACCAGGGTCTGATGATACTATATTTGTTCGACAAACTGATCTTTTAGACGATATAGATTTACATATTGTTTGATTATATGGTCCAGTGAATGTAGAGATAGGTGTTTCAGACTCACGTATTGTATCTTCGTCGTTTGAATCGTTTACAGAGCCATTATTGGCTTCATTTAACAAAATTTTCGGCACAGTTGTATTTCGGAAATAGTTGAGGAAATCTTTATAACTGTCTCTTATGGTTTGATTTTTTCGCCTCCGATCTTTGGGATGTCGATCCCTGCTGGGGTACACGGGTGGTTTTGAGAGGGTCCTATTCCCAACTTTTACAGTTTTTAAAACGGCAAACTCCTGAGCTATTTTATAGTTACACCAAATATTTACCTTCGTGGACGGTGTGATATAATTTAGCTTCCACTGGTGATTCTGGACCCTGACAGTAAGATTTGTCGCGTACAGTACTGTCGTAAATTTGTACAGATACTCGATGATTTCAATGCATTCCCTGGATCGATCAATGTTCAAGACTGTCAGGCTATTAGAGGTGGTAAAATCTACGAGGATTTTGCTCAGTCGCACGAAAGGTTTGATTTCGAGGGAGCTTTCAAAAAACGAAAATACGTAGAAAAGACCGAGTAAAGAAATCATGCTCGAGAAATGCGTGTATGTCTTATATTTTAAAAAATATCTACTTCATGATTCGCAAAGTGAAATCAACTATCATCTACGAAAAGCTATGTGGGTCAGGCAAAGAGTAAGAAAGAAAAAGTTCGAATGTCCATAATGTTCAAGCCCATCATAAGTTTTTCCTTTTCATTCCTCTCATAATATTTTCGCTCTCACATTTTTTAACACCATTGTAAGTTGAAAAATAATAGCACTTTCAAATCGATCATTTTTCAGTGATGTACTTCTTAAAATATGAAGAAAAAATACCTCATCAACACTTTTTCAACCACTTATATAATTAATTTAATCCTATAAAAACCTAGAATTGCCATCTTTAGAAAAAAATTATAATCTCAAAGCACGACTTTATCATCTCTGTCTCGGCGAGACTGTGAAAATGCGTGTGGAAAGAAAAATGGATCCTGACTACTTTATCAATTATTGCCAAAGAAACACCCAATAAAAACCTTTGGTCTTCAAAACCGAGACATTTGCTTTGAGGTGTCGGCTTCTTACTGTCACAAATCAAAACACGATTAACGTCCTCATTAAATTTAATGCCAATTCAACTGACCCCTAGCTCTCATCCACTTAGAGCCTTATTGTCGAGTTAGTGAGCCAATGGTTGCTTTTATTACAGACACCACTTGTCAAGCGGCATAGCAAAATATGGGTTGGTTGGTGGATACGTTTATTTAAAGGTGCTTCTAACATCTGGATCATTATCACTTTAGAGGAGAGATCAAAATAGTGTAGTACCCTTAATGTGGTGGACAATAAAAACGTGATTACTATCCCTCAACTCAAAGAGTTAATTTCTGCATCAGATGTCGCAAAGAACACGCAAAAGTCCCAAAAATTGACCCCATGGCAGGAATTCAAAGTTTTAGGTCGACAGACGAGACTTTCGAGAAAACTGCTGCAAGTTTGCCGGCGACGTTTCACTTAAAAAGTCTGTAACATAGTTAATCATTAAAATGTAAAAAGTTGACAAATTCAGCTTTTAACTTACTTGCGTAACAAATTGTTCTTAAAATATTTCGTTTGGATTTTTTATACATTTTTTTATGCAAGTGAGTTATAATCTACATTTTTCAAATTTTTACATTTTGACCGAAGCTCTTGTGTAGGGGGTTAAACTCCTGTCCTCCCGCCGATAATTAATCATACAAATTATACTTAGATCGAATCTTTGACCCAAGATTCTTGGTCACGTTGAGACTTGTTAAGCACCGAAGACTGAAAATCAATGTCTCCGTCACGTCACATTTGGACGTATTTCTATCAAACGGAACTATGTCCATTGTGACGTGAGCCCTGTAATGCATATATTCTGATGGGTCTCAGGGCTCATGTTTTAATGCACATAGTTCCGTTTGATATAAATACGTCCATTTCTTTAACAGTTCGAGTCAAATCCAACCCGAATCTGAGGCTTGAGTGTTAATCATCCCCAGGCCCGGATACGTTTTTAGGAGCGCCGTTTTTCAAATTTCGTCATGTTTTTCCTCAAAATCCAAACATTTCATTCGACACCTTCATCCGTGACGCGCATGACATCCATCACACCCTAGACTAACGCAAAATGTTCGCACCCGCGATCCGATGGATGGCCTCGGTTTCGGTCTGCCTGCGACAGGTCAACCACTTTTTATTTTGGCACGGGCGCACTCACACCTGTCCGGACACCGGCCCACGTGACGTCACGCGTCACCAATCCGGACGCGACGAGCGAGTGATCTCCCGCCGTAGGTGATTCACATCGCGGCTCAACCTCGTTTACTCTGGCAAGTTTACTCACTCAATCGCGATCCAATGATACCTACTATCTCTTTTTAGCGTCGCATGAGAGAGAGAGAATGTGATTAATTTTGGTGAATCTATTTTGCCTGTATTTTTCATCATAATAATTAGATGCTAATTTTTCATCATG